GGGCCTACCTCGCAGGGGGCGCGTTGCCCGGCCAGGGGCGCCGCTCACCCGCGCCTCTCGCCTCCGCAGCCGACATCTACGACCAGGTGGCGGCGGAGCTGGAGCCGCGCGGCTTCCGCTGCAGGTGCCTGGGCGGCGGCCGCATCTCCCACCAGAGCGGCGCCAGGAAGATCCACGTGTACGGCTACTCCGTGGTAAGGCCGCGGCGAGGGGTCGCTCCGGGGAGCTGTGCCCGCCCGGGGCCCCTCGCGGGTGGCCCGCATTGGTGGCGGGCGGCCCGGGCCTGGCCTGGCCTGCCCTGCCGGTGGGCCTTCCGGGCGCGGCGTTGGACGGAGCGCGGGGGGCGCTTCCACGGAGTGCTGATCGGAGCAGCGGCGGAACAGCTTCGGGCGGGCCCCGCAGGGGGCAGCAGTGAACAGGCCGCCGGGGTCTGCAGGGCGCTGGCCCCGTGGCCGAGCGGAGCTGCAGGTGCCCCGGGAGGCTGTGGGGCTGCCCCTCGAGGCAAAGGGGCTGACGTTTTGCGCGTTTGCCTTTTGGTAGGGCTTTGGCCGAGCGAAACACTCCATTTCGACAGAGAAGCTGAAAGCCCGGTACCCCGACTATGAGGTCACCTGGTCTGATGAAGGGTACTGACGCCGGCCGGGCCTGCCCCCGAGAGATCTGGCGGAGGAGGCTCCCTTCACGGAGGGGGTCCTGTCCCGACGCGCTGTAGAGCCCCCCATGAAGCGAGACTGCCACGGGAGGCGGCTTCCCGTGCCCGGGAAGGTGCCGGTGTCCAGGTCCGCCCTCTGTACTGGCGCAGGTTGACCGTGCCGAGCCTGCACGCGGCCGGTGCGAATAAACAAACGCTTTGTGGCCCGACTGGCGTGCTTGATGCGACTCTCCGCCATGCGTGGAGCCCCGGCCGGGATGCCCCTGCGCCTTGCTTCTGCTTCCAGAGGACGTTTGCTCTGAGCGAAACGGCCAGGATGGGGCGGGCAGGTAGGCGGCAGCGGGCTGTGGGTGATTGTGGGCACAGGCTGCTCCGGAGGGAGCCGGCTGCTGATGTTGTCTGAAGCAAAGCAGCCGGCGGCCCGAGCTTGGGTGGCCTGAGCAAGCCGGGGGCTGCATTTCAGCCCAAACTGACAGAGGGTCTCATGAGGGGCACCAGTGGCGAATGTCTCTTCTCAGAAAAGGCGCTTCTGGGTTTAACGGCTTGTGCTAGGCAGAAACATCTTTGCCAGGGGGAGGGGGGGTTGAGTTTTACCCATAGATCCGTGACAGCATCCCAAGCTCGGCTGCCCAAAACCGAAGGGCAACAACCTTGAACAAGCCCCCATGGAGTGGGCTTGATTGCCCCAGCTTTGCTCCCCATTAGTTCTTACAGAGTGGGGCGTTTTTAGAGTTGGACAGTATTTCTCTAGAAAAACTGCAGCAGCGTGAACTTTTTCTGCTCTAGCAAATGTTCCTTTGAGCACTCGCTGCTAAGAGTGCTGAGGTGGAGGAGCGGGCGGGAATCGGAGGGGCCCGGTTTGAGCCGCGTGTTGAAGAGGCTGCTGAGCTGCCGGGGCCTCGGCTGTCTCTTTCTTCGTCTCGCGGTCGGGCTTCGGCAGCTTCCAGCATCCCCCAGCCAGGACGGGGCCCAGCTTGGGAAAGGCCGCCTGAGGCCGTGTCCCCTTGGACTCTGAGGCGGCATATTCCAGACAAAATTGGACTGAAAGTTTTTATGGCTTAATTGCCCTGAGTCAGGGCTCCAAGGCTACAGCCTGGGAAACGGGGCGGCTGAATTTCTTGAACTTCAGGGCTGCAGACCTACCTGGGGCTTCGCTTTCCTGGAAGCAAAGATTTCGTAATCTCATAATCCGCCAGTTTCAGTACATGTACCATTGCTAAATCTAAGGTGTTTCTTCCTACGCAGAAAGAAAAGAAATTGCTCCATGAAGGGACAGAAAGGGACAGTAGGGTCGGGGCAGAGGGTGGGGGGCACGCAAGTTCAGATTCCCGCTTGACAACAAGGTGGCCATGGAGAAATGGTACTTGAGTTGCTACTCTGCCCTCAAAGGTAATAATCAATTGCTGAAACATACTAGAATAATCAAAAGTAAACACCGTAAAAACAGTAAATAAAGAATTCTTCTAAAATCAATTAAGCTTGCATTTTAAATTTCAAACTGCGGAGCTGGCAGTGACCTTTCTCTGGAGGAGGCCTTCAAAGGGCAGGCGGTGGGGCTCCGGCTGAAGGCGCCTGCTGCCAGGGACACCTCGCGCTTTCCTCCCAGTCGTGACGCACAGAAGATTTCGGGCACAGGAAGATGGGAGGTGTGGGGGGTCCTCAGTCCGAAGCCCTGCGGTCACCCCACCAGTCTGTGAGGGACTGAGTCTCCCTGAGGCCACTTGCTCCAGTCTTGCCACTAGGGCCTCACCTGGCGGTGCCGTGGGGCGGGTGTCCTCCCTGCTGTCTCCTTCCCCACTTCGCTCTGCCTGCCCGCCATGTCAAGACTGCTGAACCGCCACTGCCCGCGATGAGGCTTGTCCCGGGCTTGCAGTGCCTCGGGCCCAGCTGATAAGCGAGGTTGAAGTCCAGGCCGGAGCCGTTCGGAGGAGCCTGCGCCTCCTTCCCCGAGATCAGATCCTTCGGGCCACCAGCTGGGCTGCCCTGCCGGCCGCCCGCTGCCTCCCAGGATGGTGGGGGCCCCGGGGCTTCTGTGCCTGCTGCTCTTGGAGAACCTGGCAGGTACGTTTTCCCATGGGGAACATCGTCCCGCGGCCTGGGATGCGGGCTGCGCCCCCGCGTGGGTCACTGCAGTGGAAAAGTGCAAGCTGAAGGCGGGAGAGCGAGAGAACTGGGTGCTTGATGCGCACTGTCCAGCTTGGTTACGGCATTCGCAGGCGCCGGAGTGTGTGTGAATGCGAAGGCCTGTTTGGACTGGTGTCGTTCTGCCTTTAAGGGGCAAGGAAACAGGTTCCCTGCAGTTCCCCTAGTGTGTTTTGTGTGCGTGTGGTGGTGCTGGTGGCGAAGTCCCGCTGCTAAGGAGCCGGCGCTGGTGCTCCCTTTGGCTTGTCTGGACGGGGGTTCTGTCCCTGGATGTGTGCTGGTGTGTAAGCTTGGAGGAAAGCCAGGTCCGAGTCTTGGTTCTGAATTCTGTCCTCCCGGGCCGGGCGCCGTCTTCCGCTGAACCCACTGCGGAGGCTGTGGGGCACGATCGAGCTCTGGCGACGTGCCAGGTAGGCAGTCTTCCTGACCTGTCCGCCGCCGTGGCCTCCTTTGCCTTCCAGCCGCTCCCGCCTTGGCCCAGGCAGCCCTCGTCAACAGGTGCCGGGGCCCCAGCGCGAGCCTGTGCGACTTCGTCTGCGATTGCTGGGACTGCTCGGACGAAAACCAGTGTGGTCAGTTCTCTCCCCGCCTCGCTGCTGCCGAAGGAGGCGGCCCAGGCCGACCTGGAGAGCCCTGCCTCTCAGCCGTGCAGAGACGGGCGGTCTGAGATGAGGGGCTTCCGGGGAGTCCCGTCCCCGGCCTGGCCGCCCCTTCAGAGGAGGCAGAGTGCCTTGGCTCACCTGGGACAGCTGTGCTGGAGCACCAGTGAGCAGCCAGTCCCTCCGGGCTCATTCAGCCGCCGGCAGCTTCCCTGGGCAGGGCTGGGCTGGGCTGGGCTGGGGCTGCAGCGGGCGCTCGTCTCTGCCGGCTCTGTGCCGCTGCTGAAATGCACGTGTCGCTTGCCAGGTCGTGGCTTGACTGCACACGCCAATCTTTTAAAAGGCAGTCAGAAATTGAAGGGGCGCAGAAACTTAAGGCAAGCGCCTCACCTGGGCTGTCTTGGCCCTTGCCAGCCGACCGCTCTCCTCCCTCCGTTTCCCTCAGGCTATCAGAAGGAGTCCGTGGCGCTGGGCACTGCGTTCGCTTGCGACTTCGAAGGCAGCGCCTGTGGCTGGGAGGATGTGAGCACCTCAGGCTACCAGTGGGCCCCTGCCCAGTCCAGCATCGCCCGCTGGGGCTCGGAGCCCCCCTTTGACCACACGACAGGCACCGATCTGGGTAACCGGCTCTCCCTAGCGGGTGGGATGCTGCAGGCCACCGGCAGGTCCATTCCCGCCCTGCTCTTTCTGGACGTTTGCTGTAGAGCCCCTTCCCTGGCCAGTTCAGGCATGTGGAAGGCAGGAGGGGGTCAAGCACCTTGCCCCCAAGGCCCTCCGAAAGCTCTGGGGAGAGAGCCTTTCCGGCTGTGCCTTGGGTGTGGCTGCGCCCGTCATGCCTCTGGCCTCGTTTGCCCTGGCCATTCCCACAGGCTGGTACATGAGCACCTCGAGGCAGAGAGTGAAGCCGTCCGCTACAGCCCAGCTCCGATCTCCGCTCCTGAGGGAAGCAGCCGCCACCTGCGAGATCCGGGCGTGGTATCACCTCTCAGACCCAGGTAGGCGATGGGGTGCAGACCAGCCGGGGCTGGGGGCACCCATCCCTGCCCGCTCGGCATGCGGGCTGCGGGGAAGGAGCGATGCGCAGCGCGGACATCCGGGGCGACGGTGGGCCGAGGTGCCTGGCAGGGCTTCCGGTGCTGGAGCAGCCTCTGCTGAGGCAGACCCCCGACAGAAGGCGCAGAGCTGAAGGGCGAGGGCCCCTGCCTCTGCCGTGCGCTTCTGGGGGGGCTTAGGCAAGGCCTCGCCTCTCCGCCTCAGACTCGTTGTGAGCACCGGGAAAATATGGCGGGCCTACCTGCCAGGGCTGTTGAAAGGACTGTTGGCACCCCAGGCCACATCCTTGGCATGAATAAAGCCAAATGTACTTTATTTGAGGTATTGTACGGATTGCCTGGCTGGTAGTCCAAGCCACAGCCTTTTAAGGTAGGTCAGTGTTACCTGAGAGGTGGGGTGTGAACAGTGTTGAGTGCTCAGAGGAACGCTGTCGATGCTGATTAATTGGCTATAAAATGATGGAAAGGATTAATATGATCTTGCATGATGCCAGAGTGACTGAGAGCTTTGTCTGTTGAATATCTGTCTGTAGTACAGCTGTAACACGTGCAAGAGATATTTTCTGTTAAGTTACTCTAATGTGCGTTTGGACAAAGGGAAGCTGTATAAAAGAGGACAAAATTCACTTCCCTTTCTGGAGGTGAAGGCAGAGGCATCCGCGCAGCAGGGCCGGTGGAAGCGGCAGCGGGTGGGAGGCGGCAAGCTGGTGAAGCGAACCGTTTGGGGAGTGGACGGCAACGTTTGCCTCACTCGTGCGTTGTGGGGGGAGAGAGATTGGCGGCTCCTGGGGGTCGCCTGTGCCAGCGGACGCAGCAGGGCAAAGCGTCGCCTGGGCAGCCGCAGATGCCGGTTTTCCGTGCACGCAGGACTCAACGAGAGCAGCCAGCCAGCCCTGACGCTGGAGCTGAGGCACGGGAGCGACATTGTGACCCTGTGGCGAAACCCGCCCGGCAGCGCCTCCCCGTGGCGGGAGCTGGTGGCCTACACGGGCCGGGTGCACGGGGCCTTTCAGGTAACAGGGCGCGGAGGGCGCTGCGTCGGAGGCGGATGCCGCCCGGCTTTCCTCGCACGAGTCCCATGCCCCGTTCTCCGAGCCGCACGCCAGAGTCTGACCCGCTTCCAGTTCTGGGCCGCGGGTCCCCGTTGCGTAACACAGGTGGTCGGACACGCGGGGAGCCGCTCGGAGGGGGAGGGCGGTGTGCGGCTCGCCAGCGACTCACGCGGGCCCCCGTGCCATTGCAGGTCACGTTTGCCGCGGCCCAGGCCGCCTCCGGGGCGGTGCAGCTGGCGCTGGACGACGTGGAGTTCAGGAACTGCGGACCCCCACGTAAGGCGGGGCGTTTCTGTCCCCTGCGTGGGTCGGGGAGCATGCGGCCCCCTCCCAAATCGGAGTTCCCCCCACCGCTGCCTTTGGCCCTCTGGGGCTGCCCAACTCGTGGCAGCTCTCCTGACGTGGGGGGCGCAGGCACTCTGCCAGCGCCTCCTGTGCTCCCGGGAGGTGGCGGGGCCGCGCCTGGTCTGCGTGTTGCTCCGTGCGATGCATTTCCGTGTGAGGCCGCTCCTCGAGTTCCCCACGAGTGGCGGGTGCCCCTGACGGTAGCAGCGATTGTGCCGGGGGTTCCGGATTCCACAAACCCACGTTCAGGTGTGGCGACTAGCCCAGACCCGCACAAGGAGGGCGACCCCTGGCGGCTGATCGCTGATCCCTGTCACGATTGCACCCGGCAGGTCCCCAGGCATGTGCGCCGGACGAGCACCGGTGCGGAGGGGGGGGCTGTGTCGCCCCAGACCGGCAGTGCGACGGCACCGAAGACTGCAGGGATGGCGGAGACGAAGCCGAGTGCAGTGAGCCCCTCGGGCGGGGGCGGGGGCGGGGGTCCCGCTGGCTGCGGGTGGCACCACGGGGCAATGTGCCAGGGCTGGCGTCTCGGCGTGGCAGGCGGGGGCGGTCCCCACACAGCTCGGTTGCTCAGGCCGAGGAGCCAGGGCGAGGTCTGCGGCTCTCCTGGCCTCCTCTGACCCCGGGGCGTTTGCGGCTGCGTTGCCACCCACTGGCCGTGCCGTGGCCACGCTGGCGTTCCCCGGAGAGTGCACCAGCAGTGGTGCTGGGGAGTATGGGCCTGGGCCTCACCGTGCTTCAGAATGGCACTGCTGGGGTACCTGCCTTTGCTGCGTGGCGTCCGGAATCCCATCCCTTCCCCGTGAGAAGAGCATCTTGGGGCCCAGTGCTCCATTTAATGCCGCGGAGGCAGGAGTCTTCAGGGACTTGTGTCCCCCCACTGCCCCCCCCGGTTCTGGCCTCTGGCCCTCGACCGTCTCAGCTTCCGCTAATCCGCCTTGCAGGCAGCCCCGGCTGCTCCCCCCGGGGTGCGGGGACGGGCTCACTGCTGTGTTCTCGCCCCGGCAGGCTCGTCCAGCAAGTGCGACTTCGAGGCGGGCTGGTGCGGGTGGGCCGCGGAGCCCGGCAGGCCTCTCCTCTGGCTGCGGAACTCCAGCACCCACCTGGGCCCCTCCCCGGCGCAGCCCACGCGGGACCACAGCACCAACGGCCGAGCAGGTGGCGCCGTCACTGCCTTCCTCCCCTCGCACCGTGCGGCTGGGCCCCGCACTCCCTGCCCTGGGGGTGGCTCCTGATGCCCAGGTTCCTCCTGTGCCTTCCCTGCTGACGCACGGCTCGATCCGTCCCTGCAGGATACTTTGTCTACCTCGGCCACGTCCCCCCCTCCGACCCGCAGCCGGGAGGCGCCTGGCTGGTCAGCCCCGTTCTGACGGCGAACCTCTCCTGCCAGGTGAGTCGCCGCTGCCTGTGCCCCTCTCCCCCCCGGCGGCCCCGGCAGCAGGTCCTCGTGCACCCGGTCCGAGCAGCGCCTCTACCAGGTTGTCGGACTGTGACGCACTCCCCCGAGGGTCTGGTGAGGTCCCCTCCCCGCGGTTTCCGCCACCTCCTCCTCTGGCCCTTCGGGTGTTTCCATCGTCCCCTTCGGCCCTCCAGCTGGTGCTCTACGTCCACCTCCGTGCCTCGGCGTATCAGTGCCTGAACGTCTACTACCGGACGGAACAAGCCATGGTGCGCGTCCGGACCCGCTGCGGGGACTTGGGAGACTGCTGGGTTCGCGAGACAGTGGAGTTCCGGGTGGCGGAGAAGTTCCAGGTGGGGGCGGAAGAGGCGTCTTTGCCCGGAGGTCCCTGGCCCTGGCCGTGGTCCCCGCTGTGGGGCAGAGGCAGAGCGGCGGGGGAGCGAGCACGGCAGGTCCCTGGCCTGCCTTCGGCCGGCTGCTGTGGCCCCACGGGGAAGCCGTGCGGCGGGCCCTGTGGCAGTGGCTGCCCCAAGCGCTGTGCCAGGCGAGGCGGGCTGGCGACGGTGGGGGGGGGGCTGCAGGAGGAAGCAGCGGCCCCCCCCCCCCGGTGACGACGCTTGCTTGTCCTCCCAGATTATCATCGAGGGGCTGCTGGGCACGGGCCCCCAGGGGAGCCTCGCCCTGGACGACCTCATCCTGTCTCCCGGCTGCTCGAGTCAGGCTGGTGAGTCGGGCTGGGAGCAGCCTGCCCCGGGTCGGAGCCCTGCTCTGCCTCGCCCGGCATCGTGGGCACACGCTGACTGGGGGCGGGGCGGGGTGGGGGCGGCAGCGCCCCCTCCAGGGAGCCGGACGGGAGACCGGGACGCTTCCCAAGCAAAGGCCAACGCTGGCATCGCATGGTCCTCCCGTGTCCGGCAAGGGGGTGCCTTTCCCAAGCTCGGACAGGCTCCCCATTCCAATCCAGCAAGGCTCGCCCCCCACGACCTTCCCCGGGCCGCCTGTTCTCGCAGGGGAGCCAGCAGGAGCCGCGGCAACTGCCGGTCCTCGGCCAGCCCCAGCCCCAGCCCCAGCCCTGCCTCCTGGCATGGCCTTAGGTCACCGTTGTCTTTGGCTCCCTTCAGGGGCGCTTCTGGTTGGCCGCGAGCCCAGTCCCCCGAGTCCCTGCACCCGGGGCCAGTTCGCGTGCAGCGACGGCAAGCAGTGCCTTGGGGCCGAACTCGTGTGCAACTTCGAGGCTGACTGTGCTGACGGCTCCGACGAGCAGCAGTGCGGTAGGTGTGCCGGAGAGGAGGGGAGGCCGGGGCCGGGAGCCTTGGGCGCGCCGTGCGTGGGGCTGCCAGAGCTCCGGAGGAGGGGAGGGCTCCCTGGGGCAGGTTGGGGAAGGCCCCCATTCCCAGCAGGCCCCGCCTTGGGGGCCTTCCTTTGGGGGCAGGGGCTGCTGTCCCGCACAGTCTGGCTTTGGGTGACGTGATTTAAGTGCGAAACATTCTCGGGGCGGATTTTCGGCACGATCTGTCGATGGAGCCGTGCGGGGCTGGGGGAGGGACAGATGCCCGGGGCTCCAGGACAGCTGCCAAGGCCTTCCCTTCCCTTCCCTTCCAGGCTCGACCGCGTTTACCAATGGCACCGGCGGCTGGGTGGACGTCAGTGTGGGGCGCCTGCAATGGGCACTGCAGAAAAGCACCGGCCAGTCGGATCCTGCTGGTAATGCCGCTTCCCTGCGGGTCTGGATTCGAGTCCCGCCCCATCTGCTCGCCCACGTTCCCCAGGGCCTGTGAGCTGGGAGCCTTGCAGAGGAGCGGATGGGGGGGCTGGGCCACCCAGGAGGGGCTTTGCGGGGCTGCGTGGGGGGGGGTTGCTGCCTCTGCGGAGGTGTGTATGGGGGGCTGTTTGGTGGGGTTGGTTCCTGGGCTGCCTTTTGTGGAAGACGCGCCTTGCTGTGCGTTGAAGAGCGGGCGATGTGGCGTGTGGGTCGGAGGTCCTGTGTTCGGTTGCATGGCCAAGTGGCCCATCTCGGAGTCTTTGGAGCCGGAAGCAGGTCTTGGAGCCGGAAACGGGCTTCCAGAGACCGGCTTTGTGCTGGGGATGGCACCCTCGCTGCTGCCGTGCCCCGAAGCGCTCGGGAAGCCCTGCCTCAAGCCACCGCGTGGGTTGCCGGCGTGTGGCCGAGCGCGTGGGGGAGGCCCGGAGCCAGACTGTGGCTGTCGCACCACCCGGACCCCTTTGGCGCTCTCAATCCTCCACAGGGGACCACTTCAGCCTGCAGGAGGGCACTGGGCAGATGCTGGGCCTGGCGAGGGCCGCCACCCCGGCCTTGGGGCCCTCCGGCCTGGCCTGCGCGCTGGAGATGACCTTCCGCACGGGCCCCCGAGGTATCCCCAGCGGCCCCCCGGGCGTGCCCCTCCCTGAGGGTGGCGGGTGCCGGGGATCTGGCCGTGCGCTGACGGAGAGGCCCTCTCTTCCAGGGCTCCTGGCACTCGCGGTGGCCGACGAGAGCCTGGGGACCAGCCGGTGGTTGTGGCACAGGCGGGGGAACGGGAGCGTGGCCTGGGCGCAGGCCCACGTGCCGCTCGGCGCGAGGGCGAGGCCTTTCCAGGTAGGGTGCTCTGCGGGGGCGGAGCGCAACGCGCCCGGGAGCTCCTCGAGCCGGGGGCCCTGCGCGCCAGCCTTCCCTGGGCCCCCTGGCCCGGGGTCCCTCCGCGGTCCGTGCGGGGCCCCTGAGGCCGCCTGTCACGCCTCTCTTGTCCCGTCCCGTCCCGTCCCGTCCCGTCCCGTCCCCAAGCTGGAGCTGCTGGCCATGACGGACCTCAGAGGCTCCGGGGCTGCTGCGCCCCCCGCCGTGAGCAGCGTCTCCCTCGTGGACTGCGACCCCGCCGCCCCCGCCGCACGAGCCTCAGGTACGGTGCTTGCACAGGGGTCCCGCAGCCCCGCTCCTGGGGCCCGATCCACACGGGCGAACGGCCGCTTTGTGGCAGCGCCATGTGCTTCTCCGTTAGCGGTTGCATCTGCGCCCTGACCGGGACGCGCACGGGGCCCTCTCGGCTTCCTGGCCTGGAGCGGCTGGGAGCGGCGTGGCTGAGTGGGGCTGCACCCAGCGGCCCCCGTCTTGTTCCACGCCATTTCTGGCGGAGCATGCAATGAGGACAGACTATCGATGGGTCTTTTCCTCTGCCTTTTTGAAAATGAGGGTTGCGTGCCACAAGCCAAGCCAGCTGGCCAATCTGGCAGGCATCCCGGGCCGGCCGAGCTCGAAGCGCCTTCCCTGGGGAGGGAGGCCTCGCGGAACAGGGTCAGGCCTCGGCCGTTTCCTCAGCCCCCCTCACCCCGCAGGGCTGTCCTGCAACTTCGAACGGGGCTGGTGCGGCTGGTTCCTGGAGCAGAACGACGGCTTCGCCTGGGAGTGGCGTGCCGGCGGCGGCTGGGCCCCGGACCACACCACGGGCACAGGTAGCGCGGCCTGCCTTCTGGGGCTCGGGCAACGCGGAGCTGAGGCTCTGGGCGTGGGGAGCTTCTCCAGTGGGCCATTCCCGTGCCAGGAGTCCTCGGAGCATCGGAAGCAGCCCCACTTGGTCCGGTGGAGGAAACCGTGGCGAGAGGGGCCTTCCCGGCGTCTCGTGCCTGCGGCCCCCGTCTTCCTGGCTGTCCCACCCCCGCCACCAGCGGCGTGAGCGCCCTGCGTGGGAGGGGATGCCTCGGGGGAGCCCAAGAGCTCCCCTTGCAGATAACAAGTGTCCCCCCCCCCCGTGCTACTCGCCCTCCCGTCGCAGGCCAGGGGCGACTCCGCTCCCCAGGCTGGAAGGGCAAGGGGTGGACAGAGGGCCCTGCGGGCCAGAGGGAGCAGGTCCTCGGGCTGGCGGACACCCCCTTGCGGCGGTCCTGCCGGCCCCCAGGGATGCTCCCAGGACTGCCGCCGGCTCCCGCTGAAACGCGCCTTTTGACGCCTGCCTCTTGTGCAAAACCACACGCAGGCGCCTTCTTATCCGCGGATCCTTCCGCCGCCGGGGCCCATGGCTTGCGCGCACGGCTCGTCTCTGCGCCCCAGGTGGCGGACGGCAACGCCTCCTGCCTTGTCTTCTGGTATCGCATGGACGGCCCGCAGATTGGTAAGCCGGGGGGCGGGGGAGCCGAAGCTGCTCTTCTTGGGGGGCAGGAGGAGGGGGGGCAGGTGCAGTGGGCTGCTGATAACTCATCTGCGCCCTGGTGAAGAACATGGCGGATTGTTGCCACTGATCTGCAGCTCAGGTGTGTTTCCAAAGAGCCTCAGGCCCCACAGCATCACCCCCTCCCTCCTCCCGCCCCGCAGGTACCTTGGCCCTCCTTGTGAAGCAGGCTGGGAAAGCAGAGCAGGTGCTTTGGACCAGGACGGGGAGCCAGGGGGCCGTCTGGCACCGGGGACTCGCCACCATCTCCCTTCCGCCTGGCCAGAGCTACCAGGTGAGGCCTCCCTGGCACGTGGCCGGGCGGCAGGGCACCACCAGGCCGGCCTTCCCCGGCACGCGGCCGGGCGGGTTTGGGCCAGCCCCGTCTCCACCTCGCCTCCTCGCAGAGGCGCGGTGAGGGAGCCGCCGGCTGCTCCGACCGGCACGCTGCTGGATCCCACACTTTCAGCCCCCACACTGGCATCCAGTTACTCCCCCACTTTCAACAAACTGACCGCGAGATCCTAGAACCTGGCCCGGTCCTGCATGTTCCGTGTGTCCCACCGTGCGGGCCTTTGCAGAGCCGTTTTAACGTCTGAGCATGAATCTCTGCTCGCTTCCGTGTATCTACCGCATTTCTAATTCTCCCCATAACCAGAGTTCCTTGGGTGGATGGCAAGCAGCTAAAAGGCCAGAGAAACCGTGAAAAAATGCAGCATGAATATTTAAAAGAATAAAGTGCAATTAAATGCAAAGCAATGAATGCAAAGTACAGTAGTAAATTGAACAACCTTAAAGGTGTGCAGAATAGAGCGAGCGGTGGACTCCTCTCCATGAGACAGACAGCCCCAAGCAGGTGTGGGCTCACCTGGCGAGAGGTGTCTTGGCTGCCGGGAGGGCATTGTGTCTGTTTAAATTTGAACACTCATTTCAGAGCTTGTTCCTCTGCAGGGATAAATGAGCTTGTCCCATTTATGTGTGGACCTTGAGCCTCTTTCACTGCATGAAGGCCTCCACCCAAAGACCTGGCTGCAAGCGGGGAAGGCGCTTGATCCCCGGGGCTGGGCTGCGTGCCGTGCAGAGGGCTGAAGGCCCAGCATCCCCCTCCCAGCCCAAGCCCCCAGACAGGCCGCTCTGCAGCACCCTGCTGCGTTGTGGCCCGCGGCACCCGCTGGGTGGCTGAGAGGAGGCGCCATGTCACCACCCTGTTCTCCCCAAGGTGGTCTTCGAGGCCCTCCGGGACGGCTTCCTCGGGGCAATGGGCCTGGATGATCTCAGCGTGAGACCCAGGGCTTGTGGCGCGCAGAAGCACTGCTCCTTCGAGGCCGATGACTGTGGCCTCGTGGCCAGCCGGCCGCAGACCTGGGCACGGCAGGACGGGGCCGGGGGCCGGGGCCCTCCGACAGACCACACCCGGGGAACCCCTGCAGGTGAGAACGGGGGGGGGGGGGGGCACGGCCCTGCCCTGCCCTGCCTCCCCGTCGAATGGGGAAGGAGCCGCACAGAAGCGGTCGGTCAAGGGAGTGGGCGTGGACTTCAGCAACCATCATCCCCTGCCCACGTGGCCGGTGATATGTGGATAAAACGCTAAGGGTGTCAAAGGCTCTGAAGCCCACCCTGGACCCCTGTCCGTGCCTCCCTGTCCTTCAGTGCCATCCCTGTGATGGCGCATTTTTCAGTGTAAGCACCTTGGGGCAGGGACTTGCCCTCTTAGGTTCTGAGAAGAGGATGCACCCTGCGTGCTTCCACCTCCAGGCTCTGGAACGCCTGCTGGGGGAGGATGGGCTTGGGTGCCCCTTGTGGTCCTTCCCCTGCGCAGGAACGGCATTTTCCTTCTGGCGAGGCCGCGGGTCGTGTGCCTTCACTGGGCGGGTCCTAATCTCTCGTTTCCTCCTTTGGAGCAAGCTTATTTGCACCCGTATTTTATGGATAGCTGCCCTGAGCGACATTTTGGGGTTACATGATCAAGTGCGTTGATGGTGCTGTTTAAATGCATCCAGGGCATTACATGCTCGTCAACACCAGCGCGGCTGCCCTGCCATCTGGCCAGGCGGCGCTCCTGCGGTCGCAAGCCTTCCTGCCTCTGCCTCGCCCCCAGTGCCTGAGCTTCTGGTACCATCCGAGCGGCAGCAGCCCTGGTGAGTGTTTGGTGGGGGGCTTGGACAACCCTCCCCCCCCCCGGTCTTCTCCGGGAGCATTGGGCAATGCCCTGGCCGGGGCTCCTCCAGCGGCCGAAGCTGCCGGGCTGCCTTCGGGGCAGCCTCCCCGGAGCGTCTTGGCGGGGCCTCGCACAATCACGATCGCGAGGATTGGCGACTGGGTTCCCTCCACTCGGAGTGCGGGTGTTTCCGCTCTGGAGGCCTCGGGGGAGAGCGGGCCGTTGCGCTCTGTGGCAGCGCCATCGGGAGCGTTTGCTGAGCTCCCAGGTTCGGCCCAAGGGCGGCCTGACCCTGGTCTTCCTCTCCTCAGGATCGTTGCAGGTCTCCGTGGAGGAGGGCAGCCTGCGGAGGGAGATGCTGCGGGTGAGCAGCCTGCCGGCGGAAGGCTGGCGTTACGGCAGCTTCACCGTCAGGGTCCAAGGCGAGTGGCAGGTGAGCAGCGTTCGCTTCCCGGACGGGTGGAGGAGCTGCTGTCTCCATCCCGGGATCCCAGCTTCCTCGGCAACGATTGGGGACCTTCACTCGGGATGCACAGAAAGGATCGTGCAGGCAGAGCTGCAAAATCGACTGCCCTTGGCTCTCTGTGATGAAGGATTTGTAGGAATTGGGTGAACTTTTCACTGTGGACGAGAGAGGAGCGCAGTAGGAGCCATCTTTGGGTGCCCCCGTCTCAGTTCGCCCGGGTCGTCCCCTGTCCCCACCCTCTGTCTCCCTCAAACAGGTGGCCTTCTCCGTGGAAGGTGCTGGCGGGGGTCCATCCTCATTCTTCGCCCTCGATGACCTCCGTGTGGCAGAGGGGGCCTGCCTTGGAACCGGTAAGGGCTGCCCAGGGAAGGGGCACGTTCAGGACCACGGAGAGCGGCCCTGCCAGCGCAGGCCTCTGAGCCCAGCACAGCGGTGCGAGGGCAGCTGGCCTGGCCTGGCCTGGCCTGCCGGGAGCTGCGTGTCTTCCGCGCTGTGCGGGGTTTTCGGAAGGGCCAGGCTCCTTCCCGTGCCCACAGGCTCCCTCCCTGGAGGGAGGGTCTGAGGGCGAGTTCGGCGCACGTCCAGCCACGGCGATGAGCCAGAGTGCAGCGATGCCCCTTGGCGAGCCTTGCAAACTGCGGGATGCGCGGCGTGGGAGGGCGAGGCTGCGTTTAGGGTCGCGGTTCAGCCAGCGGCGATGGGGCTGCCGTCCGATGCGGGGTTGCCCCTCCGGGGCCAACAAGGCCCAAGGAACTGCCGTCGGCGTGGCCCGCTCAGGGAGTGGGGAGCAGCACCTCAGGGGCTCCTGTCCGTCCTGCTGGAAGTGGCCCGGTGGGGCGCAGGTCTCGGCTTGCGGGGAAGTCGCTGCCCGCCTTGCTGCGGGGCTTGGGCCTGGCCGTGAAAGGGGCTCGTGGAGCCAGCTGAGTGAGGGGCGGGCGGCAGGCCGAGGCGTCTGCCTCCCCGCTGTGGGCCTCCCTCCTGGCGAGAGGGCCCCAGAGCGCCCCCCGCCCGCAACTGCTGGGCAGTAATCCCGGCACCCCTTTGCCAGGATCCTGCGACTTTGAGTCAGGCACCTGTGGGTGGAGCAAGCCGCACGGAGACTGGTACAGCTGGGACTGGAAGCAGGGGGCCACCCCGGCACAGTCCCCGTCCCCCGAGGAGGACCACACCTTTGGGACAACAGCAGGTACCCTTGTCCTCCGCTCGCAGTGGGGCCCTGGGCTGCGGGGAGGGGGCCGGGATCAGGCAGCGTGTCCAGGTGAGGCCAGGTGATGCGGGAGCCCCTCCGGCTCCTTGGCCGGCTTCTGAGGGGGCTCAAGCAGCTCCTGCCCCTGATGGCCTGCACTGCCTTCCCAGTCAGCTTGGAGGCTGGGCTTGCTCAGCCCTTGGCCGTGGGGCAGGCATGCGGATTCCCATCACGTGGCTTCACTGCCACACGGAGGGGCTCTTGTCCTGCCTGGGGGCTCGAGGGGGTTCACACGCCGGCTTGCTCAGCTCTGCTGAGACAAGGCACCCCGAGCACTTTTCCAGGCTGCTGGAAGCTGACCTAGCAAACATCAATGTGTGGGGGGGTGGGAGCCTGGGGGAGCCTCCCGGCGGGGAGCGTGGCCTGCTGGGACACCCCGTGCGTGTGTTCCCCTCTCTCCAGGGCACTATGCCTACGTGGACACCGCGGCGCTGGGACCGGGGAGGAACGCGCCTGCCCGCCTGGCGAGCGAGCCCCTCCCGCCGACCTCGGGGTCCTGCCTGCAGTTCTACCACCGCATGGACTCCCTGGGCCAGAGCTGTAAGTGAAACCCGGTGCCGCCGGGGGGGCGGGGAGTGGGGGGCAGGACGGCACACCTCGCGGGCCGCAAGCCAGCCCCTTCCCCCAGTGGTGCACCGGGGCCGGTCCCCAGGATCCAAGGGGTTGAAGCCTCCCAGCCCCTCCTCCCAGCACGGCTCTGGCGGGCCTCCCCTGCCGCCCTCGCTGGCCCTCCGGCGCCCTCCTGGCTTGTCCCTGCCGGCCGGGCCTCCCCCTGGCGCCCGTGGGAGGGGAGCGTTTGGCACGGTCGGCCCCCCGGAGCGGTCTGGGTCTGTGGGCGGCTCACGAGTTCACACAGGATGCGCTGGGCTGCCACGCCTGTCCCTCTGTGTGTCGGCAGCAAGCGCAACGCTCCGGGTGAAGCTGCAGAGCCTGCAGGGGGAGCGGACGGTGTGGAGCGCCACTGGGACCCAGAGCCGGGCCTGGCTGAACCAAACCCTCGTGGTGTCCAGCCTCACCGAGTTCCAGGTGAGACGGCCGGATCCGGCCCGCTCCTCCTCTCCTCTGGCCACCGGCCCACTTTGCCATCGTCCCCACGAAGGGGCCGTATATCCGAGGGAGAAGCCGCCCGAGGGGCGGTGGGGTGGCTGCGCTGTCTCGGGCCTCCAGAGGCGGAGGCCAGGGCTCAGCTGGAGCAGGCGGTGGCAGAACGAGAGTGGGCAACGAGGGGCTCGCCAGGGCTCAGGTTTTTACACATCCCTTCGTGTGCTGGGAGCCCGTGTTGGTAGGTGTTTGGCACCGGGGGAAGGCTTCACCCTCAGGCACAGCAGCAGGGCCAGGGAGAGGAGAGGTCTGGCTGCTTGCCCGGCTTGGCACTGGCATCTTTCTGAGAATTCAAGCCGGAAAGGGGCTCTCTTTCGAACGTGGCAAGAAGATTACCTGCCACTGAGAAACATGGGGAGGAGAAACATGGGGAGAAGAAACCCCTCTCGGGTCCCTTGGGAAACGGTTTGCTGCACTTTGAAGTCCAGCGTAAAGGGTCACTCGCTGACAAAACGGCTTTTCACTGGTGTAACGCTTGCCGCCACCCGCCCCACTGCAGCACGTCCCGGAGCCGCGCAGGGACTCGACTCGTTGCTCTGCGGCCGACGCTGCCCCTGCTGGTGTGTCGGGATCCCATTTCCCCAAGAGGGCGCGTTCCCCTCGCCCCACCGCCTCCTCGGGAAAGCGGTGCCCTGACTGGCAAGCGCGGCTCCTTTCCCTTCCCCCAGGTTGTGCTGGAGGCCACGGGAGGGGCCTGGCCACGCGCGGAGACCATCGCTGTGGACGACATCTCCTACAAGCCTGGGCCACGCTGTGACACGGACCCACCGCGGAGCCAGGAGGAAGGCGAGTCTGCTCCACTCGCGTGGCCTGCCGCTGAAAAGCGACGCGGCCCACGAGGCCGTTTGCGCGCTCTCTAGCTGCTTACGGGGCAAGGCGGGCACTAACGGGCCACCTCTCTCCTGCGGCCAGGAAGTGGCTCCAGCGGCGGCTCCGCGGCCGGGCTGGTGGCCGGGCTGGTGTGCGCCGTCCTGCTGGCCCTCGCGGCCGTGGCCACCGCCTTCTGCTGCTGGACGAAGCTGCGCAGAGCGGGAGGCGTGGAGCCCGGGGAGAGCAGCGCAGCGAGGGGATTCAATAACATCACCTATCGAGACGTAAGGGGGCCGCTCCGCGAGTGTGTGGGTGCGCTGGCTGTGGGTGCGGGAAAACGCGGGGCTGCGCGGTCGCCGTGGGGCACGGCTTGCCGTCGTTACTCTGCTCCGTTTTCCAGACGAAGTGGCTCTCATTTGCAAGCATTAGGGGTCTCTGGCCGTGTGAGCAGGGGATGGGGTGGGGGGAGGCGGGGGCTGCGGGCCTGCTTTGGGGCCGGCACGGCACATGCTGGCTCCCAGAAACAGCCCGTTTTCCGAGCTGCAAACCGTGTGGATTGCTCACTGGCCCGGCTGCTCCCGTCCAGAGGGCTCCCGGGAGCCCCCAACTCCTTGGTAGGAAGGAGGTGTCCCCCTTCCGAGGGCCACTCCCCACATTGCTGTTAAGCACCCAGAGAGCTTTGCATATGGGGCGGAACTGAAGTAAATAAATAAAGCTGCTGCCGCTGAACCTGGCCATGCAGAGTCGTCACAAGCGAGGCCCACGCCAAGCCCTTTCTTCTAATGCAGCCTTTCCCATGAACTGCTGTCCTCTGGCAGCATTAGACCACAACTCCCAGAGTTCCCCAGTCAGATGTGCCCGTCTGGGGAGGGCTGCCTTGATACAGAAGTTCTTGTGCAACACAAGACAGGCATGTCTTAAATTGCACGTCGTGTCATGCTCAGATTCTTGGGAACCAAAGAACTTCGGCTGTTAGGGAAGCATTAGATGCAAGGAATGCAAGGGAATCCCACCGGAGGCCTGGCTCCGCCTCGCCAGTCGTGTTCCCCACAGCGACTGAGAGAGTTTCCTTGACTTGCAGGACATCGTCATCCTGCCACGGATGTCCACCGGCGGAGAAACCGAGTAGCCTCCCTTCATCCTGCCCGGACTGGATGCCAGCCCCAGCGTACACTCCTTGGCGCTCTGTACCAGCCTCCAGAGCCCTGGCATCTTGGGGTCCCCCAGCGGCTCACCTTGCCTACAGTAAAGCTGCCTCGGGTCTTCTCTGAGCACGGGCAAAGTTTCTCTCTGCTTTGTCCTGCACTCTTCCTTCTCTAGCGAGGAGCATAGCAGGCTTTCGCTTGAAATCGTTCTGCCGCTTGTGGCACGACGGCAGCCGCAGCTGCTTCCTCCGGAGTGGGCAATACGCAAGACAACACGAGCCAGGGATGAAGAGTGTGGAACATCCCTGCCGGAGGAGGGCTCGAGGAAGCCTTGGGGACTTCGGAGCGGAGGAATAAAAGATGGTGAAAGGTGGCAAGAGAGATGAGCGATGCGTCTACATCACAAAACAGAGCAAACCTTTGTCTTCTGTAACGTGAGCGTGGCAACAAAAAACATCCTCACATCATCTTGAGCTTGCTGCGCTCACGGTTCGAAAGGACCGGAGCGATTATTTGACAGGAAGAAGCGGAAATCGAGCACTAGCTGCTCATGCCTGCTTTGCTTGTTTTCCTCTTTCTCCGCAGTCTCATTTTTCCTAGTGCCTCGTGCCTTCTGGATTGTAAGCTTGCCACGAGTAGCTCGTTTTTATTCTTTAATTAAGCAGCCACTATCTTAGGACCCACCAAGGTGTCACAGCAGATTGCGCAAGCTTCTGAGTTAGACCGTAAGAAAAGCCGTGCTGGATCAAACGAGGCCCGTCTAGTCCAGCTCCACGCACACGACGGCAAACTGGCTGCCCACAGGATCCCTCGAGCAGGACGGGCGCAAGACCCCCTCCTGCGCACGGTTCTCCAGGGCGCTCCAGCGGGCTGGGTGATGCCTGCGCTAGGGCCATGAGCCCTTCCGCAGCCCACCGTTGGATCCCCAAGGCCAGCACAGTCTCGGAGCATTGCTTTCTGCATCAGTTTTATTTAAGTAGATTTATATCCCCTCCTCCTAGTGCTGGAGTGGTGCTCAGATACCACTCACAGTAAAATCAACTAACAACAGAGCAGCAGAACAAAAAGCAGCCTTGACGCTGAGGTGGGGGGGGGGGGGCAAACCAGAAACAGAACGGTTGCCACAGAAGAGCAGAGCGCGTGCAAGCAGCTCCTCTGGACAGCTGGACGCCGCCTCAGGAGTGTGCCTGGGTCCAGGGGAGCCCCAGCCCCTTCTGGTCCCCCCCCACAGCACAGCACCAAGACCCCCAAGCAGCCGCTGCTCCCCAGCCCGAGGAGCGATGAGGCGGATTTGAGTGCCCTGGGGTGGCCAGCGGGAACAGGCGAGGAAAGCTCGCTGTGGCGCCTGGCCCCCACCTCTCCCCACAAGGCCCTTGGCTGGAGACCCCCCCCCCCCCCCCCCCCCCCCCCCCCCCCCCCCCGTGGGAGGCCCCCCCCCCCCCCCACAGCAGCCTCTACACACCAGCAGAGAAAACACCTGGCCTGGTTTCTTGCCCCTGGCAGATTCAAATGCAGTGTTTATTAGAGTTTGGACAGTCAATCTCTGAAGGAAGGAAGGAAGGACAGGACAGGACGTCACTGGTTGAAACATCTGCCAACTTTGAGCAGGGCAGCGACTCTGGTGGAAAAGTTTCCCCTTTCGTGAGGCTTAAGCTCCGTTGCTCAGCCTGGTGGAGGCAAAGGGACCTGGCCCTCCGTCCGCGAGAAGGGAGGCTGGGCCAGGCGAGATCAGCCAGGGCAACTGATTTCGAGGCTTTGTCGTCACTTCCCTTTCGGGCCCTTTTCGAGGGGTTTGCCGATGTCCCGCCCGCGGAGCTTCAGACCTGGAATGGAAACAGGCAGCGGTGGGCCTCGGGGTGGGGAGCTGTCGAGCCGAGCGTGGGCCCGAGGAGAGCGGGGACGCGGCCGCCCGCTTTCCCTGCCAGGGAGGAGCCGCCTCCACATGACTTCCTTGCTGCTCTCAAGACACACAAGCGCAGGAGTGCCCTGCAACGGCTGCTGAGCCTGGGGGGCGGGGGCGGGGGGCCAGGGACACACACGACTCACCGATGGCTCTTTCGATCTTGCCAAGCACCTGATTGTTGGGAATTGCCTTTCCGGATTCGTAGTCAGCGATGACTTGCGGCTTCTCGTTGATTTTCTGGAAAGAGACGTGGCGACCGAGAGGTCCAGGCTTAGCACAGATTGGCTCAATTCCACCACTGCTTCCTATGGCGGCTCCCCCAGCCCCCCAAGCCACTACAGGACCAGAAGGGGGGTGAGCAGGGGAGCCCCGGAAACCAGGCAGAAGGGCCTCTGCAGGCAGAGCCCCTGCGCTGGCAGGAGGCAGTTCTGGCCGTTGGTGGGAGCGCCTTGCTTCCGGGCTCCCCGGAGAGCGAGGCAGCAGAGCAGTGCAATGCGGCTGCAGAGACCGGCGGGTGGGAAGATGGGCAGAGCCTGGGCCAGGGGTCCCCAGCGCCTCGCAGGGCTCTCCCGCCCTCCCAGCGATGCAGCGCCACAGGCCCCGGGCCTCCCTCTGCCCACCAGGCCTGCTTACCGTGGCGAGGTCCTTCTGGGTGAGCCCGTTGCTCTGCCGGCCCTGCTGGATGACTTTGCCCACCTCGAGGGGGACCCTGTCGTGATGCAGCTCTTCCGTCTCCCTGTCCAGCTTGGCCGTGTTCTTCGTGATCGAGTGTTGCTTGTTCTGGCCCGCTGCCCCTGTGAGCGGGAGTCAACAAGGCCAGGCGGGTGAAGGGGGCTGCAGACTCGGCGGAGCTGCTGCCGCCGGCCTTTGGGGAAGGGGCCCGGAGCTGACACAGCCCAGAACCAGGAAAGGGTTCTCTGGTGAAGAGCAGCCCTGCCTCTTGGCCACCATGAGAAGACATTGCCAGAGGAGCTGCTGCCGGCCCGCTTCCCCGAGAGAGACCCCAAGTTCTCGCATCCTCGGAGGCAGAGAACAACCCCCCCCCCACTTTCTCCATGCTTGGCCATATATAAACTCCTCAGCATGTTCTTGCCAATGCCAGCCAAGAAACTCATGATGTTCGTTTCTGAGAAGGATCCCAAACCAATTTACTAAGAAAGATCATTCCTCTGTCCCCGGTCATAGTATCTGCAGGAACCTGGGCATGCTGCCTGGCCAATGATTAAAACAAAGCTACCCACATTTCTTGGAGGTTTCTACATCTTCTCCTCTCCTCTGAGCAGCCAGGACAGCCTGGAATTCAAAAGTTCCAGTGAGAGGCAGCAGTGGCAGGGAAGAGGTCGCCCCCCACCCACGCCTCCCCACCCCTGCTGGACAGCCGGCTGCTCAAGGCAGGAACCTCTCCTTCACCGAGGGCGGCATACTTGGCACGATTTATTCATTTTATTTTTAGAGGATTTGTATACTGCTTCCCACTTAAAAGGCTCTCCGAGCGGTTTACGAGAAGCATGTTTTTAATAAGCGTTGGAAGCAACTGGCCAGGGGGGAGGAGGAGATCGGCGGCCCGGGCAAAACGCCCCGTCCCCGAGGAGCTCGCAGCCGGAAATCCGCGCGGAGGTGGCGGGCCGGGGCAGCGCGGGCCACGATCGCGGGAGGGCGTCGCGCTCGGCCCGCAGGGAACGGCCAGCCCCGCAGAGAAGCGGGCGGGCAAAGGGGGCCGGACGCCACGCGCCCTGCCCGCCCCCCGGGAGCGGCGGGAGGCCTGGAGGGGCGCCCACGGGCAGGGCGGCTGTGGATGATGGGAGGGGAGGGCCAAGACGCGTGCCGGGGGCTGGGGCACGCGGCCGGGCGGAGAGGGTGGGCGGGGCCGCCGAGGGGAGGGCCGCGACGGATGCCAGGCGGGTGGGCGTGGCCAGCGGCGGGGGGAGGGCCGCCGAATGGGCGTGGCCGGGGCGTGGCTCCCCGAGAGCCGGGCTGAGGGGCTCGCCGGGAGCGAACGGCGAGGGGGAGGGGCCGTGTCACGTGCGCGCGCGCCCCCCCGCGCGAGGGGCGCGCCCGGCCGCCTCCCGTCGCTCACCTGCTTGGACTTGGCCTGGGCCGCGCTGGGCCCCTTCTTGCGCAGCACCGTCACCGTGTCCCAGTCGCTCTCCGCCATGGCTGCTTCCTTGCTCAGCCTCCGCAATAGGCCGTCTGTCCTCGGCCCCGCCCTTCCTCCTCCTCCGCCCCCTTACTCGGCGCGGAAGAGCACTCCCGTTGGCCTGCTGGCACGCCACTCACGCTCGACGCTCCGACGCTATTGGCTGTCACGGCACGACGCTAGCTCCCGTCCTGCCCTCCTAACGGCATTCGGCGCCTCCTTGCGGCGGTTCCTGAGATGTCTGACAGGTTGCCAGGCTTGCCCATCAAAGCTTCCCGTCTTTTCACTGGTGGAGGGAGTAGCAACTCCTCTGAGGGAAGACCCTCAACCTTGGAAGCGGGTCGTAAAAGGTTAGGCGGCAAGCCAATTATTACGCTTCATTATTTGATTGGTTGAACCGGTAGGAGTGGGCGGGGTTTCCCTCCCTTTTCTGCTTGACGGAAGTCTGGCAGAGCAGCGTGAAGGCCGCGCTGTCGGAGCCTCGAGTCTGAGCATGCGCAGAAGGGCGCCTGCGGGTCGGAATTCCCAGTTGCGGGCGGGCGGGCGCGCGCGCGCTCGTGCAGCCGCGTCAGAAAACGGGCCCGAGCGAGCGAGGCTCGCGGTGCAGCCCGAAACCGAAGCCGCGGTCACACCTCGTGCAATCAGTCAAACCGAGAAGCGCTTGATGCGATTCGCGATTCGCGCATGGCAGGCGCACACGTCGGCCTGCAGCGTGGGCTTCGGGCCGGTGCTGTGGCCCCTTCTCCCCGGAGGAGCGGGGGGCCATTTCTGCTGCTGATGGGGCAGGGCAGCTGCTGAGGGCAGGTGCTGGGCAGCGGGGGCAGCTGGAGGCGACACTGGTGGGAGATCCTTCACAGACGCCGGCAGCGATGCTCCGGCGTGTGCAGAACACGGTGCTGGGAGACCTCTGCGGCGTCTTCCCTTGAAAGCCCTGTGGGGAGACGACCCGAAACGACCCGAGGGAGTCGAGTTGCGGGAGGCGAGACCCCAAGGCTGGAGGGCCCTGGCTGCGTTCCCGGGAGGAGCGAAGGGCTGTTATGAGTGCTACTGACGCAACTAGATCAAAGCAGAAAGGAAGTCTGGTGGGCGACAGGCAGAGGTGGAAGGAAAGTCTGCGGCCGCACAGCGCTTACAGTGGGAGCCTGGGACGTGAGAGGCACGGCTTGAAGCGAACTGGAAACTGTAAAGCAAGAAATGGAACGGTTAAACGTTGCCATGCTTGGGGTGAGTGAACTGAAGCGGACTGGAAAGGCGCAAACAGCAAGACACACTCCAGTCAGACAAACGCCAAGGGCTGTGCTCAAGACGAATACAGAAGAAATGCCGTGGCTCCAAGACTAAGGCAAGACAAAACACGGGGAGTAAGAAGCTATAATGCAAAATCCAACTGAATAATAGCAACCAGAATTTGTGGGAAGCCTATCAACGTAAACAGCATTTAAGCTTATGCTCCAACAACAGATGCTGAAGAAGAAATAGAAAACTCTTAGACGTGTGTTCAAAAGAAAATTGATAACATAGCAAACCAAGATATTCTGCTGATCATAGATGTCTGAAACACAAAAGACAGAAACAAAGCAGAGTCAGGTGTTGTGGAAAATTTGGCCTAGGGGTCAGAAATGAAGCAGAAAGACCCACAAAATTCTGTGAAGCCAACCTTCTGTTTTTCACAAATACATACTTCGGGCAATTAAGCGGACAACTCTATACATGGATATCACCAGATGGCCAATAGAGAAATCACATTGACTATGCATTTGGAATCAGACCGGGGAGAAGTTGCATTCCCACAACAAAAGCAAGACCCAGGGCAGATTGTGGTAATGGTTTGCATTACTCAGCTTAACTGATCAGGAGCCAGAAGAACTGTGGACTGCAAGCAGAAGCATTATCTGGGAAGAACACAAAAAAACGATTCCTGTAGTAAAAAGAAAGAAAAAACCTAGATGGATGGCAGAAGAAACATTCACAACTGGTAGGACAGGCAAGAAACCAAAGAAAAAGGTGACGGAAACACGGTCAGAATCCCAAACGGAACTTTTCAGCAACCATTGCATATTACAATGGCCAGTGCAAAGAAGTAGAGGAGAACAGAAGCCAAACAAGATTCCTCTCTAGGTTAGGTTAACCATAGAAATAAACTAAGCATTGGTCATCGTTTCCCATTTTGGTCTGGTGGCCCCTGGGATTGTTGGGGGGTGGGAGGGCTGCACAAGAAGACCTTGCCGTCGGCCCCGGTCTGCAGAGGGAGGGTGCTGCCCGTGCTTGGCAGCTGCCCCATCCCTGCGCGCCTGTGCTTTCAGGCCCCTCCTTTGAATATACAAAGCATTCCTCCTCAGTTCCAGTTTCTGTTTTGCTAAGAAGGCTGGGAGCAGACATTCGCTTGCAGGAATGACTCACGGATCTTTTATCCAAGGTAAGGGGCTCCTCCAGGCAGGACCAGGTTGGTGCTGGAGACCTGTTTGAATACTTCACCTAGGCAGGAGCCAGCAACACTGTTTGCACAGGTGATCTCACCTGAAGGAGCGTGTGTGTCTGAGGGCCTGTGGGGTGCAGCAGCTGGAGAGTTGCACCGGGGCCCCAGGACAAGCTCATGGAGGACGCGACCGGTGCCTGCCAGTCCTGAGGGCTCTGTGCTACCTCCAGGGTCGCAGGCAGAATGGCTAGGTGCAGCAGTTGCTGGGGCACATGGGTGAGCGGCTACTGCTGCACTCATGCACTGGTTTGGATGAGGGGTTCAGAATTTTAAAGCATACATTTCTGGACAATGGGTCTCTTCGTTCAGAGGCAACCTGAGTCGCAGGGCATGGGCAGAGGAAGGTTGTAGCCATATGAGCGAACATTCCCCCCCCCCCTTTGCATAAAACCTGAGAATAGTTCAGTTGGCAGGGGCCACAGGCTCCAGGCCCCTGCTCAGTGTAGGGCTCCTGGTTAAACCGTCCTGCTCACGTGGCTGCCCAGCTAACTCTTGCATGCCTCCAGCGTGGGAGCGCCCACTGCCTCCAGAGGTTACTGGTTCCATTGGGTCAGGAACTGCTCCAAGGGTCAGGAAAATGTTCTTGTGGTCCAGGCGGAATCTGGCTTCCTGTAACTGGAGCCTGTTATTCTGTGCCCTGCCCTCTAGGATAATCGAGAAGAGACCCTGTCCTTCTTTGTGATGGTGCTAGAAGAGGAATGTCTTTATCGCCCTGCATTTTTCTGTCTCCAGGCTAAGCAGGCCCAGCTCTTTCATTTCCCTTGGCAGCGCTTGGTTTCCATTCCCCAGGTTGCCCCTCGTTGCCTCCCCTGGACCCTTTCCAGCTCGCTTGCTTCTCTCTTGAAGCGTGGTGCCCAGAGCTGGACACAGGACTCCAGATGAGGCCCAACCAGGGCTGAATAGCGGGGGACTAGACCTTAATGGGATTTGGAAGTGATGCTTCTATGAATGCAGCCTAAATTAGGATTTCCACCCTTTCTGCAGCCACATCACACTGTTGATTCCCTATTCAGCGTGTTCCAAGATCCTGCTCAGAGTATTCTTGAGCCAAGCATTCCCGTCTTGCACTTGGGTTTTTCCTCCCAGGTGCAGAACTTGGCCTTAGTCCCTACTGAATTTCATTCTGTTGTTTTCAGCCCAGCTCTCCAGCCTGTCAAGATCACCTCGAATCTTGTGCCTGTCTTGCAGGGTATTCGTGATCCCACCCAGTTTTGGGTCATCTGCAGATCTGAGCATTGTTCCCGGCACCTCTCCATCCGTGTCATTAATGGAAATTTCGAAGAGGACTGAGCCCTGGCGCCCCACCTGTTACCCCTCCCCAGTTTGAGATGGTGCCACTGGCAGTCCGGCTCTGTGGCCAGGTGTGGATCCACCTGAGAGCTGCCCACTTTTGCCTAGTTTGCTAACCAGGATATCGCGGGGCACTTTGCTGAAGTCGAGTAATCACTGCATCGCTTTCAAGGTGCTTGCAGACTGACTGGGTTTAATCCTCCCCCGACCTTCCCCAGGAATGGACGCCAGGCTGCCTGGTCCGCAGTCCCCAGGTGCCCCGTGTCCCCGTCTTGAAGGAGGGGGCAGCATGAGCCCCCCGGCACGTCTCCCCCCCCACCCGCCCCGGCCTCTCAGGGGCAGTCGAGCGCGCTTGCG